CGGTATTTTAGTATATGAGTACATTTGAGATATGTTAAATATTCAAGAGCCTCTTAGACTTACCATTTTGACTTTCTAAATTAACTTTGTCGATATGTACTGCTTGTAAAATTGAATGGCCTACCCATCCAACATTTTCTCTGAGTGATCTAATCTATTATTCAATAACTGAAATCGTATTGAGGTGGCTAGTATGATAAACATACTTCTCATGTTTCACTTATGTGTTCTAATAAATGCATTCGAATTCCTTTAGAATAGACCTGGTTAGTTTCTTGTACACATTTGTATGGGGTGGTCTGGAGAATTTGGGAGGAAAAATACTGGAAAGAGAAATGCTTATTTTTTTCTCTTGTGTGTTTTGGTAAACAAGGAAATCTTAATTCTGGGGGGGGGGGGATTTGTTTGAAATTTTTCATTAACACATTAAACAATATATGTTAAGTAGCTTTTCTCCAGATTGCTTTCCTCAGTCACTTTTTTTGTGTCTAAAATTTGCTGTATTTTCCATTATACCATATAATGCCATTATATATCAAGATAGGCAAAGACATAGCTTATGAAGGGATCATCATAAGTTACAGTAGTATCATAACTTTAGGGAAATAAATGAGTTGCGTTTAGAAATTAATATTCTTATGAAATTATTTGAGTTTATGGAAACCATAAAGGGGAGAACCATGGAGAGCAGCCATATTATTTTTTTCTTGATGTACTTAGCAACTGTGCATTAAAACTTGTCCAGGTACATGATTATACAAGTTGAAAAGTACATGATTTTTTTTTTTGAGAACTACATATTGTTTTAAAATTATCCCGAAGAGCCCTGTGTATGGTGATTTTAACATGCGAGGATCTCCATAAAGTGTATTTAAAATTTATTATTTTTAAGTGTGAGAGGATTCAGAAGAAATATAAGCAACTTTTACTTCAGTAAGATAATCATATAATGCTTAGTAGCACTCTACAAAGGACTTAACACAAAAATTAATGTTCTCTTTTATTACAAATGCAGTGCATGTTCATTGTATTATTAGAAAACAAGAGAAAAGAAACATGGATATAGTCATATTGCATAACTACAAAACCACTGAAGTGCTTTTAACATTTACTATGTACTCATCCATTCATCTCTCCCTCTACCTCTCTTTCTCTCAAAATAATAGACCTTTCCTCCCTTCTTTTTTCTTAACATTTACTTTTTAAGCGTAAAATCATCTTTAAACGAACACTGTTTATATGTGTATTCCCAATGTAATTACTCTCTTATATTACTTAACAATATAAAATTGTATCTGTGACAGTTATTATGACATTTTGCTATTGTTGATCATTGAACTTATTTGTAGTTTAGATAGTAAATGACATTTCTGTGAACATTAATATCAATAAACCCTCTCCTCCAGTCTGCCAACAGATATGTCTCAAGTGACTGAATGAAATACTTGCACACATATATTCCCAGCCCTAATTCACACAGGTAGTTCATTATCCATCTGTCTATTATCTATCATCTGGTCCTTCTACTCTTCATATATTTCTAGTAAAACTCGCTAGAAATAGATGTAAATGAAATTTCTGGGAAAGATAGGCTTATGAAACATCATGTGTTATTTTCAAAAACTATAGAAATGGGACTATAATTTTTTCAGGTCTGAAAATAACTGTAGTTTCTTTAGCTTGAGGGATCTGAATTTAAGATAGAGAATATTAGAATCAGCTGAGAGATTCTTTCAACGGACATCCTCCTCAATGTAATCAACATCTTTATTGGTGGGGCCTGAGTTTCCCCAAGGTGATTCTGATGTGCCCAATGAAATTAGCACAACACCTGTACCCCAACATCACTTATTTAGAAGTCAGAAAACTGAAGGCCAAGGGATGGTGAGTGGCTCAAGTCCGAGAGGTTATTAATGCAAGCGGAATAGAACCGAATCTCTAGGCCACCATGGTTCCCAATAGGCTTTTCGATGACATTTTGTAAGTATGTTCTTTGCAAGTGGTATTATATGGAAAAAAATCTCAGGGTTGCATACATTTGGGAACGCTGGGTTAAGCTCTGGAGTGAGGCCTCTCTCAAGAGTCTTTGATGATGTGCCAGTGAGGTTAGTACTCTCTTAATGGAACAACATTTCCCTAACTTAAGTCCGCATGGCACTGACCCCTAGAGTATCTCGAGGGATTGGTGTCTTTCGAAATGTCTTCTGACAAGTATTACTCCCCAAAGTACCATTTCCATTCCTCTCATGAAACTGTGTTCTACATGGAGGGTAAAAAAATAGGTGTTTGTTAATATGCTTGTTACTAATCAACCCTAAGTTTTTCATGAGTAGGTTCCAAATAAAAATGTCTAATTGCAACTGTTGATATTTTAAGCAGTGGAGCCCCAATTTTAGCAAGTAACAGAATCACCTGGAGGGTTTGTTACCCTGAAGATTGCTCAGCCCCTTCCCAGCTCATTACGTCTGGGGTGGGGCCCGAGAGCACACATTTTGAAAAATTTCAGCGGCTATTGCCGCTACTTCTTCAAGGACCATACTCTGAGAAACCATTGCTTTAGAATAAATGTTGAGATTTCTCAGAATATTTTCAGGGGAGAAAAATAGCCATGTCATTTGTTCGCTGGTGTCCTCTTTACCTTCATCTTCTTACTGAAAATCATTTGTTTTAATGTGCCCCCTTTCACACGTCAGTCAATTTTCAAATGTGTTAAAATCCATGGTTGAATCCAAGGCCAAATCCCAGTTATCCTTTTCATTCTTTATAACCATTGCAATGAAGGCTGGTATGTTAGGTTCAGAATTCGCTTTGCTCTATGGTTTCTATTTTCCTTATGTTTCTTCTCTCTCCTTTCGTCATTCTACACATACCTATCCTTCTTGTAGAAAAGGGTATGATTAGTGATTCCTGTATGAAAGTATTTTGCCAATTTTTAGACTTGAAGCACTTCTCTTATTTTTTATATTCCGTTTGCTTATGGGGTAGTTCTTAATCATGGCTTTTGCGTAAATAAAAAACAGTGATGAGTTCTCAAATATTTTTGTCAATGACAGATTTTTGTCAATGACAGATTTCTGTAAAATCCATCAGAATACTCCATCACAGTATTCACATGTGCACTTACACGTACATACATATTCATAACTAAAACACAAGTTTCACAACATAGTTCTTCATCGTAATATATAGAGTGTACTTGTATATATGTTTTAAACGCTTCCCTTAAAAAAATGGTTTGTTGTAAAGTTGGTCCTAACCAACTTGAACGTTCATTTAAAAAATATTTTGGTTTATAGTACTTGTGAAATTGATTTCATTACCTAATGATAGATTGGACTGGGAGCTTTGGGCCCCAATTATTTTAAAGACTGTATTGTTCATATGTATGTCTAAATATTTCCAGTGTTTAGAAAAAAAATTACACGTGTGTTTGTTAAAGTATCTCATACTAATGTGTTATTTGGTCATGTACATGTTCAGACCTGGATGGAAAGTTTGATACAGTTAGTTCTTTTTATTTTTTTAATTTTTTTTTCAACGTTTATTTACTTTTGGGACAGAGAGAGACAGAGCATGAACGGGGGAGGGGCAGAGAGAGAGGGAGACACAGAATCGGAAACAGGCTCCAGGCTCTGAGCCATCAGCCCAGAGCCCGACGCAGGGCTCGAACTCACGGACCGTGAGATCGTGACCTGGCTGAAGTCGGACGCTTAACCGACTGCGCCACCCAGGCGCCCCCAGTTAGTTCTTTTTAAACCTGCTGATTTGATGTTGTTGGTACTTTCTCCCAGGCTTCTTAGGGAATTTTCTGGTCATCCAATTAAGTCTTTTGTTGATTCTTTGCATCACTGCAGTGTGCGGCCAAAAAGAATCAAATGTGATTTGTTTTCATTTTGAGGACATTAACTTTGGAATATGGAATACAGACTCTACTACTGAGTTGAAAATAGAAGTCTGAACTTAATTTAAAAACGGGGAAGTGTCTAAAACAACTATATTTGACCTGGGGAAAAAAAAAAAAAAACTAACACAATTAACAAACACAGCAACAAAAAATGTTAGAGAGATACATTTTGGATAAATGAGTGAAATTCTGTTTCCTGTCAGGGGAGGGCAATAAGGTAATTCAGTATCAAAAGCCTAGTTTGAGTAGAGAGAAAATTAATCTTCAAACTTAAATTTCTGTGGGTTTTTCTTGCATCATTATCGATTGGACTTTACCTCCTACCTCAGGAGGCAAAATGGTTGTAGTTAGGATTTAATTGTGTTAGTTATAACAGATCTTTTCTAGTATACTTTATTTTTAAAACAAAAATTGATTGAACTGGAAAACCTGCAAAAATAAAGGGAACGTGATATAAAAGAATCCTTCATTGCTACCTTTTTTGCAGGTGTTTACCATAAGTTGTCAAACCAAGAATTATCCTCAACTGCATGATATAAATTTAGTAGCATAGACCGTGAACTATATATATCAATGGGTAATTTTAATTCAGTTATATGTAAAGGAATTTATCCTGTTCTGTAAATGCACATTTTAATACGTACTGCATGTGAAAAAGCCCTCATCACCTCAGGATGATCCTGAGTGACTCCAACATTGAGGAAATGAGAGAAGTTATATTTTAATGTGAATAATATAAAGATAATGCTAATGTTAATACCTGAATATAATTTGTGTGTCTCATGTCAGCATGGTACTATGTTTTACTTACTTTTGCAACGTTTTTTTCCAGCTGGATTCTTTTTATTGTGATGTATTTGACATATAACATATCAGTTTCAGGTGTACAACACAATTATTTGTATTTGTATGTATTGCAAAATGAGTACAACATTAAGTCTGTGAGTTAGATGTCATCATGGTACTCTATTTTGAAATATTCCTGTAGATGTCCTTTTTTGGAAGATGATACTTTTGGCAAATGAAGACCTGAATGTGAGAGTATTTGTTATCTTAAGTTTAATATTCTTTTTATTGTCTATCTTTTCTGGTATAGCCTGAAAAAAATGAGAGTGAGCCAGGCAGCCAAAGGATAAAACCTGTTTTTATTGACGATGCTAATTTTGGACGACAGATATCCTATCAACATGCAGCGGTCCATATCCCCACTGACATCTATGAGGGCTGTAAGTAAAAGAACTTGAACAACTCTTGGAGTACCATGCTCTTGTCTGTCCTTTGTATCTCCTGTTTGGGGGACAAAAGGAACAAATTTTGTTGAGATGTCTTTGAAGAGTCCGTGGTAAACTCTCTGTGAAAGAAGAAATGGGGTGTCCATTAGCAGTTTACGTTCAGAGAGCTGCACTATGTGAATATTTGTAGGAGAGTATGCATCCAGTGGGCGTGTCCTTCTGCTTTGGTTGACTAGGTCATTGTGCCTTCCCAGGGGCCATGAAAACTGAAAACTAATCAATCTATTTTCTTAAAAATACAAACTATATAGCACAAGTGTGCACAAATACAAATATACCTAGGCAAACTGTAAAGGGAGATAGTCATACATTTTAGACCTGGCACTTCTCATCACATCCTGTGTGTGTGTGTGTGTGTGTGTGTGTGTGTGTGTGTGTGTCTCCCTTGCCCTAGGATATAGGTAAAAAATATCTCCCTCTCAGTACATGGTGGGCTCAAGATGAAAAGAAATGCTAGGGAAAGACTAATGAAATAGAGAACCGGGAAATGGAAGACTTGCTTGAGAAGGCTTCCCTGAGAGAAAGGCAGGGCAGTAAGTTGCTTAGGGAAACGCAGGGTAGGACGCTTGTACCATGTATTAACAAGGGCAGAGCCTGAGTGAGAATGCTGACTACAAATCCTGCCAAGTACAATCTGTATCTCTGAGGACCACCCATGACCCAGAAAGCGGGGCCTTTGTTCACTCCTAGTTCTGTTCCTCCATGTTCACCATTCTCTAACCAGTTTGTATTCTGCCTTCCCACATAAGTAAGTAGTAAGAAGAAAGGACCATTTGAGATTTTTAAAGCTATGTTTCTTCTGTTACCCTTTATTACAGAGGCTATAGACTGAATTGGGTATCCAGAACTCTCTGGGTTCTGGCCAGATGGCCTAGTTCAAAGCTAAATTTTTGCAGTTTTTTTTTTTTTTCCTTTGTAAATCCTTTAAATTTCAGGGCATTTTCTCACCTGTAAAATAGGGTAAAATGACTAAACTGATTTGAGGATAAAGTAAGTTCATACACTTGTTTTCATAATAGTGCCAACCTAGTAATATAGTAAGTGGTGTGTAAATGTTTCTTGTTACTGTTTATTACAGTTCAAGTTTATTTAAGCAGAGCAAACTAAGTACAGGGATTAATAATATAAGTTATGATTTATACTTTGGGTTTCCTGTGAGATTATTATTTAAAAGGGCATTTTAAATGCATGTAAGGTTCTTTTTGTAACATAAATTTCAACTTGATCAGATTATTCACTCTGTTTGTTTTAAAAAAATTTTTTTTTCAACATTTATTTATTTTTGGGACAGAGAGAGACAGAGCATGAATGGGGGAGGGGCAGAGAGAGAGGGAGACACAGAATCGGAAACAGGCTCCAGGCTCTGAGCCATCAGCCCAGAGCCTGACGCGGGGCTTGAACTCATGGACCGCGAGATCGTGACCTGGCTGAAGTCGGATGCTTAACTGACTGCGCCACCCAGGCGCCCCTGTTTTTAATTTTTAAAGTACATATTGTTCCTATCAGTTCTTTGAAGATATTAAATGTATGACTTCTCTCTATTGATCATAGAAACAGAATTGTCTAGGTAGTTTCTGTTGTTACATGAGAATTAAACATAATTAGACTCCCTTACAATCCAGCACTACTATTAATTCCAAGTCCTTTTAGGAATTACCTGGGATTTAGGTTCACATATTTTTTTTAACTTCAACCATTATGTACTTTGTAAAAATAATTTTCTAACTGTGTGCTTTTTATTTTTTTTTTCAACGTTTATTTATTTTTGGGACAGAGAGAGACAGAGCACGAACAGGGGAGGGGCAAAGAGAGAGGGAGACACAGAATCAGAAACAGGCTCCAGGCTCTGCCATCAGCCCAGAGCCTGACGTGGGGCTCGAACTCACGGACCGCGAGATCGTGACCTGGCTGAAGTCGGACGCTTAACCGACTGCGCCACCCAGGCACCCCCTAACTGTGTGCTTTTTAAAAGAAATATCTTGATCTTTGCAACTGTATTTTTTTTTATTTTTATTTATTTATTTTTTTTAATGTTTTACTGTATTTTTGAGAGGTGGGGAGGAGCAGAGAGAGAGAGACACAGAATGCAAGGCAGGCTCCAGGCTCTGAGCTGTCAGCACAGAGCCTGATGTGGGGCTCGAACTCACAAACGCTGAGATCTTGATCCGAGTCAAAGTTGGACACTTAACCGACTGAGCCACCCAGGTGCCCCATGACTGTATTTTGTAACTATTACAATTATTTAGACAGTACTTAGCTATATGATTGTGTTTCCCATTTTTAAAAAATTACTTCATCTACCTTATTTCAAATTTTTCATCACCTATTGTTTGTTGGGTATGCCAACAAAATAATCTTACTTTAAGATTATATCTTTCTATTGAATTCATATTAGAAGAACACACTGGCTGGATATAGAACTTTTGAGTCACAATATTTTTCTGTCAGTTGTCTGTGGATATCATGGCACTGGTTTTTTTGACCTGTATTACTGTGTTGAAGAAACTTGAGGCCAACTTGAATGTTTCCAGTTTGGTAGAAAGCTTTCATGATTGTGTTTCTATTTTGTTGTCTCCTATTTGGGGATTGCCTTCCTTATTCCTGAAAATCATTATCCATACCAAGAAGATACTCAAAGTCAGTGATTTTGTCTTTAATAATCTTTGTAACACTTTAAAATATACATTAAATGAAAAACTTGCATGTGAAAGAAATTTAAAGCAAAAACTACTATGACTGAAACAAATATGACATGAATAGAACCCTGCCTACTTAATCCCTTTTGGTCTTGAAGGGAAAGTCTTCTTTTTGTCCAGTTTCAGTAGTCAAGAGGGATTCTCTGAGCAAGTTCATAGATTGCTGCCATTCCCAAAGGAAAGAAAAATAACAAGGTTAACAGCATTGTGGTTTTAATCTCATGTGGATCTAGCAGTTTGGGGAAGTGGGATGCGTGTTTTGGGGAACTTTGCCTCACTGCTGATTCTATCCACTTCCCCCCACGTTTGGTATGGTAGCCAGAGCCACTGGTCTGTTGCACAGCTCTTTGCAGTACATGGGCACCCTGAGCTAGTATAACCTGGGAAGAGGAGGGCTTGAGCATACTTACTGATGTGCATGGCACAGGAGATGCCTCTGTATGGCCTGGAACTTACTTCCTGCTCTGGATGACGCATGAGATACCATTTCAGATCCAGTATGGCATAGACTCACTGTACCCCACTGAGTACTCAGTGGCTTTCTCATCCCATTTGCCATCCCTTCATATATATAAAATGAGGCTCTTCATACTTTCTCCCACTTATATTCCTATGAAGCAGTCCATTTTTTTCCATCTGTAGAAAACTTCCTTGCAGTTCAGATGGTCTAATAGGGATTATCGAGAAATCCTAAAATTGTTCATTAAATACTCAAGGAAGGATATTGGTACTTTATACATTTTTAAAACAGTTTTTGTCCCCTCTAAAGATCGTATGCCATGGTGGCAAATTTTAATAAAGCGTACTTATTTAACCTACAAAATGGAAGTCGCCAGCACTCGCACCTCTTGTAGCCAATCATAATTAACAGTTTGGGGCCATAGTCCTATAGAATACCTTGAAATGAAGATACAAATCGTCCAAATGAGATTTTCCACATTCCTTTTCAACTTGCTTTTTCTTCAACTTAGAGACTCTTGTTAAACTATTAGAAGGCTGAAGATAAGAGAAAGCATTCTCTTCAGGAGATTACCCAGAAAAATAAAGACAAAGTGACTTTGCTTAGTTTTTCAATGAGGTGATCTTTAAGAAATACGTGAAAAATATTTTTATCATTTTTCCATAGATAATTAGCACCTAATTCACCTGTCTAGTAAATTACCTTATGCATGCATTTTGTGAACAGGGGTCCAAGGACTCCAGGTTGCGTTGGCCTGGTTAAATACTAACAACCTATTTTTTGTTTGTTTGTTTGTTTGTTTTTTTGAGTTTAGTAGTTGGTTGACTCCATGCTTCCCTTTTAAAATGTATTCTCTAATTTATTTACTATAACTTTGTTAATTTTGAAGAAGGGGACCCTGAAGCACTCTTGAATGAAAGGTCATATTATTAAGAATGGGATCAGACTTCAAATAAAGTCTAATTCCAATGTTTATATTTTTAACTACTATGATAAATGAAATTCCTGATATTTTACTTTTGAGTTAATTTTAACTTTGTTACTTTGGGAGTGAGACAGAATTGTCCATTGGAGTTAAGATAATACACTTTGCATGAGAATCTTTATTTTCTTACGCTTCTATTTGAAATTTTGTTTTGTTTTGTTTTAGTTGAAGTCACGTAGTTTAAGTCTTCATCTCTTATATGCTGGAACAGACATGAAAAATGACACAAAGGTTAACCATAATTTTTTTAAGAATATCGTGACATGGTACACCGTTTTTTTGTTTTGTTTTTAGTATTCCACAAAAGAGGTTTTAATTTTATTCATGTTTTCCTTTCCCATTTAGAATGAACTATTTGTACACATCTGTAGAAGATTATTTTAATTAGTCTCAGGGAATAAACCACACTTTGATTTTGAAAAGAAGATAAAATATTTAAATAGGTGTTTTCAGAAATCCTAAGTCCTATTTTGGAATATGTCATAATTAAAAAAAAAAAAGAAGAAGCTCTGTCTTGCATTATTTGGTTAGTCTCATTTATCTTAATATTGGCTTCTCCTCCTTTGCTGAAATCTCATCAGGAAGACGCTGACCTTGCCTGGCCTGTAGTCTTTTAAAATTCATATCCCATGTTATGAACTGTGTGAGTAAATGACACAGGAGTAAAATCAGAAATGTCAACAAGATCTTGAAAATTTAATAATTACTGGGACTCTTCATGCAGCTCATCAGAACCTATCAGATTCACAGGATTGTTCTAGGTTTCTGAATTTAATAAATGTGAAAGCTTACT